AATCAATTGCTCTACAAATTACTAATACTTTATGAATAAAACTCATTTCATGTCTGTTAATGTAAAATGATAGAATGAATGAATGAATGAATTATCTGATCAGTCAAGTGGATTGAAGAAAGTTTGCTAAAAATGATAAATATTTACAAAAAAAATCCCAACTTAATGATGCAATGAATAGAAGTTAACATAAATCTAAAAAAAAAAAAAACAAAACAGTTTATCAGTAAATTTATACTTTTCTATGTTTTCTATGTTTTGTATAACAAAATAAACAATAACTATGAGTTGATAAACATGAGTAAATGAATATCAATCAATTCGCTAGTTATTTCTCATTTTGTCTATTAACCAAAATCTTTAAATCAGAATTACTTACAGTATATCTGATAGGCATTCATGTTTAAAGAAACCCTCAGACCAATGATTTTTGCCTTTTTCGAAAATTAGAGTTATGGAAATCATTGAAATCATCAATCAATCATTATTAGAAACCATTAGAAACCTGAAAGCACTGGATGGCCGACTCGTCCTTGTATAGGACTCATCAGCAGTGTGCATACACGAATCCAGCTACTTGCAGGTTTCGAACCCGGAACATTCGTTCTTGCGCGAACGCCTAACCTCTGCACAACTAGGCCGGCATCCAACGGTGTTAATTGTTATCTCTGATCAATCTAGAGATTTTTTTACTTAGTTACATGAGATGTCATGGTGTGATTGTATATTTTAGATTGTCAATTTTTATTACCTGGATTATTGAGTAGAGTATACCTTAATTCAATTCGAACACTAATAATATAACACATATACATTGGTAGTACCAATTAGAGTTGGTAGGTGAATCCTGGTTGGCGGCCTGTGCTTCATGATGGATAACAGGAATTAGTAAGTAAGTAATTATTATAAATTAAGTACATTTATCCGTTACAACCAGTTTGAAATGACAATGAAAATGGGATTTTTATAAATAATGAGTATAATTTTCAACTATTGAACTGTAGTTAGTTAAGATAATTAATTGTCCAATGAATGATCACAGATAAACAAATCAAGATATAAACTAATGGCTTAAATGTTACGAGTTGAGATCGAAAAAAAAAAGAATGAAAATTCAACAAAATTTTATCAATCATCTCAGAAGGTACTTCAAAATGACTGTCTTGAAACTTCATAACTTTTTTATCATCCCCTCATTTAATCATTTACTTTTACCATTTATTTGTAAAATAAGTATTATAGAAAATGAGCATGGAAAAGCACTAGGTTATTGGAGATATTTCAGGAATCAACCTTAGAATTAGATTTGTTATCAACTCATACATGTCAAAGAAGATTTATCTACAGTCTTGAAAGAACTGCTATTTCCAAAAGATACGAATCTACGTCATACTGTTGCATAACCTGTAATGTTACCACTGAGCTAGTTAGATAATGACTGATCTTTTATAGGACTGAGATATAATTGACATGAAAATATTCGGAGTGTTTAGAATGTGATTATTAGAAAATCAAATGAATAGGTGTATGATTGAATTCAACGAAGTTTTCTACCTTTCCGCTAATATATAGTTTACATTCAAACTACTTTAATTATTGTACTCGTTATTCTAAGTATCCATTTTTATGTGGGTTTTTTTTTAAAAACCCCAGAGTTTGAAACTGTACACTTTGAAAGTGTGTTAGATAATTAAAATTATCATTAATTTAACTGTTATACTGAAACATTTTTGTAACAAGAGTGTCATGAATTTATTTTATGATATAAATTGAAATGATATTTTTTTTGTTAAGCATAATCGACAAAAATTAAGCGTTGAGAATAATGTTAATATCTAGATAACAATTACAAAGGTTATTTATTTTTAAATGACATGAACTGAAAACAATCACGTTATTTCTATTAAAACCATACAATTCACTGATAACGTTACTTAATTCAAGTAAATTTATAGTACTGACAAGAAAATACTACTATATAGTCAGAGGGTATGCTTGTTCTGGAACTTTCTAATCAGTTAACGTTAACGTATTGCACTTGTCTAGTGCGTGACGCTAGTTTACTTCCAAAGTTCTCATTTAGGTGATTTCGGGTAAAAACCATAAACAGAAGCAAAAAATATTAATGAACTGTTTAATATTTTCAATAGATTCATAGTTAGCTAACCTTAAATATTTAATTTGGCCACAGAAGTAAAAACTTTGATATAAATAAACTGAAATTACTTTAACAAATTAGTCATCAGCGAATCACACACTATAATATTACTTAACATCTTATTTATGAAGATCGTCATTCAATCTAGTCGTTCACTGAAATTATTTCCCACAAATAAAATCACTTACTGATCCCAAGTAAATTACCAATGAAAATCTAGAAACTCTAAAAAGCCATGTCATCCTGTAGAGGTGCTCCTCAACAATGAACTGTCACGACCTCATATTCGGCACCTTCGGATTGGTGTGTGAACATTTAACCACTAAACCACTGAGTTGGCATTTGAATCTGTAATTGTTTCACCTCATTTTGTGTAAACTTTACAATTCGTAGGAATTCTCTATACCAACAAGCAATTTTCTCACTAACTATTGATTATCAGTTAAAAAATTCAACCATTTATCAAACTAATCACACGAGTTACGTTTGGCATCGTTTTGTTTACTGGAGTCTTCCTTGAAGTTGTCAAAACTATCATGTATAATTTGTTGAATCACTTAAATTTTCAAATAAAACTAGCTTTTATCCAATATTCACCTAAAATGAAAGCTCTCGTTTGAATATTTATAGGATTAGTGAGAAAAGCTAACGATGGCTGAAAGATAGGCATACTTTTTATCAGTGCAGTTTGTACTATTCTTCAACAATATATCTTGAAATATAAGGATTGCATCTTATATGTTCGGATTTATTTTATACTTATGATAGGGAGAGCAATTGTTGGAGTTAACTAATGCCCTTATACATATTCAATTGCTACATGAAATTAAGATAAACAAATGATATGAAATTAGGTTATCAATAACTGATGTTTCATGAGCATTGCCTTATACATGTTGAACTTTTGTCTACTTTGATTGGAATTATTTTCACCCTACGATTGTATTATCCAGTTTTCATGCTGTTAACCACTTACCGTTGCTATCCGTTGCTGTACATAGTCTTAAGTAGTATAGGACCGTGTGATTTCTTGAATTTAACTACAATTTCGATCATATGAAAATTGAATATCATCAGCTACTCATTTTATGCATAGATTTACACGATTCATTCAATTTACTTATCGTTTAACCCTAGGTCTTATTATTTTTAATCTAATAATGTACAGAGAGATTCAAGTAAATAATTATTATCGATTACAATGATATTATTTATTTAAAACAATTAGTCCCTTTTATAAATTTTGGATAGAACAGATCAATTACGTCTTCTCACTGTTCTATCAATATTATTTATTCATTTTACTTATGTATCAAAGCTTTATATTTAAACCATCAACTGGATTTTGTTTAATCACATCTGATATACTGTTATTGATGTTCATACTGGGACTTGTACCTATTTTTGCTTATTTCATAACACCTAACGTATTATCCACTAAGCTGCTGAGTATAGATAACAACTGAACTATTGAATAAATATGATATTGTTCATTTGGTTGTGTTCAGTGCGTACGTCTTGAATTTCCATGATTAGTTATAATTCAAAAATTGTACTCAAAAACGTATAATCACATAACAGTATCAAAGGATCTTTTCAAAGTGCACATACCAAAAAAGTGACTGATCCGACTCAGTTTTGAACTGGTATAAATTTGAAAAAGTTTTAAATAAGCTAGCCCAGTTAATGTGAACTTTGATTGACTGATTACAGTGAAGAACTAATTCAGAACAGATTTTCATGTTAATATCACCATTATCTCAGTGGTCCAAAGGTTAGGCGTTCGTGCACAATGCCAAATGTCCTGAGTTCGAATCCTGCGGGGTGTGGGAGTCGTGGATGTGCGCTGCTGATGAGTCCCACACCAGGACGAAACAGCCGTCCAGTGCTTCCAGGTTTCTAATGGTGGTCTAACATTGATCGATTCATGGTTTCAAAAATTTCTAACAGGTTATGACAAGGGAAAACATAAATATTAAATTATTTTATATGATAAAATCATTTTATCAGGTAGTAAAACTATGTTTTTTAGATATTCTAAACTAATCAACCAGTAGTAAATATTATATTTTGAAAAAAAGGAATTTTCTAAGTATGGATGATGAATATATTACAAAAGAATGGAAGAGAATGAAAATTTAATATTTTTTTGATGAAAGTTATGATGAGTTATTAGTGAGACTGAATGACGACAAATTTTTATGCAACTTATTGGTAGATTACATAATTACTTCAGTAATCATTCAAATATTGTATCGCTGACGAAAACAATTGTTGGCAATGGCCTAAATCAGTGTAAACGTTCAGTCTATCGATATATTACATTTACTCATTTAAGATTTACGATAATAAAGATTTTGTAATTTATACAACCATATGCGTATTTTTTCAAAACAAAATACTATCAGTAGTTTTATCCCTTAAAACATAGATCGTATAGATTGCACGGAAAATTTGTAGCTCAGGTCGAAGTTTATGGTGGAACTCTGTTCTCTGACCTCAGAGAATGAAACTCCACCATAATTTATCACATTCAAAAGTTAGTTAATGTTTAAAACAACTTAGCACCAGACTTTGTTTTCTAAATCGTGTTTTCTTGTTGCTGATGTGACTTAGTTTTCAGTTGATAATGAATTTTGTCTTCTATTGTTATTGTACTTTTTGAAATGTCTCAATATGGAATAAGAATGTTAAATTTACAATTTTATTACTTTCAATTGAATAATAGGGACTTTGCTAATCAGTTTATTAAATTAATCTTAAAATTGTGCGGATTACAGATAAAAGTTGTTTATATAACTTTCTAAAGATATTTTTTATGGTTTTTTTTAGATTGTGTGATAAATAACAGTCAATCAGTTGATCCATATATGGTTAGAATCACGTTAGTTGAAATGTTTGAAAACAGTAAATGTATATGCAATTGTAATGAATGAGAACACAGGCGCGGCAACCGAAACTGTATTTAACGAAAATTACAGAGTTACTCAGTAAAATCGGAAAACTATATCGTAAATCGTTCATTTGCAAAAGATCAGTTCATCCTATGGAACTGGACTGTTTCTGTTGCTAAACATCAATCCATTGTCACTATTCATGCGTTTCATACAAATTCCATTGTATTCTAACTCTTCCTTTCTTGATCTTCCCCCCGTATTATGCTACCAGACTTTACGTTGACATTCACGTTATATACTACTTATAAGTAGTTCGCACCACAGCACCACACAATGAACTACAAATGAAATTACACAGTTGAATTACAATAAGGAATAAACTATTTCTCATTCACTATTTGATCATTGTGTCTTAAAGTGCATACATTGAATCGTATCGTAATGAACCTAATTATGTGTTTCAGTTTATATAGATTTAATAATGGTTACAAGTATCATTTTCTAATTGTTTAATTTTGGAAATGTAAAAGTACAAAGTGCATTGGAATTACGTGAATAAGGCATCCTGTCGTATTGAATGAAGGCTTTAAGAACAGAAAACACAGTTTACTAGCAAAATGTGTAAACTCTATCTTTAGACTTCCATTGGCTGCCTTCTTTAATATATATTTTCCAGTCTCCAAAATACTTTGACCACGTGCAGTAACTTCTGTACGACACTCTGAATACTACTTGAAAACTACATTGCTAGTAATATACACTAAACCACAACTTATAGCAGTACAAGGTCAAGTTATGGGAGAAATTTAAAAATTTATAGTCCTTTGAAACTAATCAAGCAGCTTTAGATTTTAGATCGAGTGAGCATATAACATGCAATTTATTATGACCTTATCAAATCAAATCAATTATTCTTATTCCTTTTAAGTTGTTATTCTTAGTAGTATAAACAGTTTTTTTTTGAAATTATTTTTTCAAGATTGCAACAGTAAAGGAATTATGAATCCTGTCAACTGGTCTAGTAATGACCAAACAGTTCTGTTTACTGAACATTCAAAAGATTTCTTGTTTGATCGTACAAACGATAACTTAAAGCCAATACCTTTTCTTAAACATAGCCATGAAATTCCTACAGATTTACTTCATCCAAATTCAGTAAACCTTATGCATAATGAGTTGAAGCGACAGGATCAGTCATTTATTTCCGCTACAAATGTTCAACGTGTTTATCTAACTAAAAAGCATCCAAAATGCACCACATCTGATAGTATTGATTCAGAATGTTTTATTGAACCATCAATAGTTGTTTCAACTGGTGTAAGACGACGTGGTCCTAAAAAGAAACCAGATTCACAAGAACGTGTTGTCAGAATGAAAATGCGACGTGCTCGAGCTAATGCACGTGAACGTAGTCGAATGCATGGATTAAATTCAGCATTAGATGCATTAAGACAACATATACCATCTGCTTTAATCGGTGGACATATTTCCTTTGATCGTGATAAAGAAGACAGTGCAACTAACTATCATACCAATCAAGGGCAAAATGAATTATTTCTGAAAAATCATCAAACCAATAGCACAACAAATCAGATAAACAGCAATAATAATAATAATAATAATAATGCTAATAATTTTCATCAATTTGGTCAAAAATTGAGTAAAATTGAAACGCTTCGTTTAGCTTGTAATTACATTGGTCTATTAGCTTCCATATTGAACAATATAAAATTTGAATCGATTACAGAGATTATAAAATATTTATGTCATGGTTTATCACAGATAACAACCAATCAAATTGCCGCTGCTCTACAAAATGATCCTTCTAGATTAATGAAGCATCAGGTAATCGGTAGCGATGAGAATCATTTATTATGCAACAATACTTACAAATCATCATCCACCTCATCATTATCATCAACAAATTGTACAAATTACTCGGAAACTGATGATGATGTTAATTATACAGACAAAATTCAACAAAATGTTATAAGGTCAAATTTATTACAAAATAAATTAGGCGATAAACAAACAGTGAGCTATTCAGATTATCATTCAAATAATGTTTTGTTCACTGTACCAACAAATCAGTCTACATCATTGTTGAATGTTGATCAATCTATAGGCAGTTGTTCATGGAGTTACACTGAATTATTAAAATCTCAAAATTATCTATTAAAGAATAAATCATGTGAATTTGAAAATTTATATGATTATGGACAGTATGAAATGAATGAATACAACTTGACATTGCCTTATTTTCCTGCTAATTATGATGTAAACATTGGTGCCAGTCAACCAAATGAATCAATTGACCATGAAAATTGGATTAGTAAATCAAAATTACAGCTACTGAGTAATGAAGAAATAAATTTGACTTCTCCTTTAGAAACTAACAACAGAAGCAATATTTCGGCTGACTCAGAACAATCAAATTTCAATTCAAATTCTAGTCTAAAACCTTATCCGTATTATTATCATACAGATAGTCAGTATTATGATTTATTTTGAATGTTGACTAGTAGTAGTACTACTAGTCATACCATTTGTAATTACGAAACATCTTAGAAAGTAACAATGAATATGATAAATAATGATGATATTATCAATGATGATTACAATAATTTAACACATTGTGATAATTACTATGATTTTTATCATGATTGTTTATATAAATTTACTTCGACAACCATTTCACTTTGTTTCACCAAATAATGAACAATGAATGACATGGTGTTTTCATTTTTTTCTATAATTTCTTCTTTTTCATTTTATCACTGAATTCTTTATTTATTCAACTGATAGTTAATGATTTATAATGAATCCCAATCTGTTGTTATTACGTAATTAATATTATTCAATACTGACATATTTGATTTTATGTTACTTGACAAAGTATGCACTGGCTGATCGGAACACAAGCAATATGAACTAGTCTAAAGTTGAGATGTGGAATTCTATGTATAATTTTGATAACATTTCGTTGTTGGGGCTAATCGATACAACAGTTGTATTATTAATATTAATATTATTATTATTATTACTATTATTATTATGAAAGCTTTATTATCTGCACGAGTAAATCTTATTAAAAGTTAGTTCAGTTAGTTGGGAAATAGTTCAATCTACTAATAATATTGCTCAATGAGTATTTGAAGTTTCATTAAGTTGATTCATATTCAGTCAATTATCAATATTATTGGTCTAATGGAAAAGCGTCGTCCTAAATTTTACCTATGAAAATAGACTTCAGTAGTAGTATACTATAATATATATCTCCTGGAGTTGAGTTCTTCACTTTATTTGATGATAAGAGGATAATGTAATGTTAAAGAATATATTAGTTGTACAATTTATATTATTTTAAATAGTAGAGTTATCTTTGAAATTGTAGTTCAATTTCAGAATTGTATGATGTACAATATGTTTGCATATGAGATTAAAACCTGTAGCTGTGATCAACATAGTGTCTATTGACGCAAAATTCAGATAAGTTAATAGCTATTAGAATGTGTATGTCCAGTACGAATGCTGATTTTGCATATCATAAATATTTCGTAGATATTTGAATATCATGTGTTTAAATCGAACTTAAAACGCACTACGGCTTCATACATTTTTAGTTAGCAACATTTCCCAGTTCGGTATAAATTTAAATTTGATTTTTAAATTTCTCAATCTCCTGCAAAAATAAAGTTTTTAAGGAGGCAGATTACTGAATTTTATTGCATTTAAAAGTATGTACTATGGTATAAACTTTACCACTTAATGAGCAAAATATCTAGGGGGTTTTGATCTGCCATAGAAAACCTAATATAAATTCATATCGTAAATTCTGTAATATATAAATTCTTGAAATAAAAGACTATCCAGAAAGTTTTATTAGTGCGTATAATTATTAGTTTCTGGATAGAAATCAGAGTATACTTTTAGTTCTGAGGATATCAAAAATTTAGTTGATGTGCACGTTGAGTATCAGGAAGTAGGACAACAACAGGAATAAATCTCTGGATTAGTGTTTCAAATAACATTTAATTTTTTTCCTTTTTGAAAAAGATAATGTTAATTTTATCAGACAATAATAAGTGACAATTTGATTAAAAATATAAACTAAAGATAGTTTATTCATTACACTGAAAGACCAAACACTGATTACAACTATATGAATTGCTACATCACATATTTAGTTCGACAGTAGTAACAATAACAAGGAGTTCTGAAATGCAGACAATTTTTATTGAAAACTTGATTTATAACACTAGCTCGGTTTTAGCTTGTTTGGCGAAAGGCAATATGATAACCTAGATGAATTTCTTGTTGAAAATAAATAGTTCGTCGTTCAGTCTGCGTACTTCATAATAAAAATACTTACTTTAGGAACTGTTTATAGAGAACTGTCTCACATGGGATTTGATTGAACTGCGCTAGAATTCCAGGGATGGATTCCAGAAACTAGTTTTTTACTGAGTGTATATCAAATACCTATCTTAAGTAAATTCGCGTTGTTAGCAGTAAAATTCAAGTCTCCACAAACCACTTATACTGATTAAGATATTTAGATGAGTCTGTTTATACAGTTGATAGTGTTCACAAGGTGAATTATGACTAAATATTAAAAGGTCTGTTCTTAAGTTGACTTTAATTGAGTCCACTTTCTAAAGGAGATATGGAAACTACATAAAGTGGTAAACTTATATCATAAATTTATACTCCAATCTTGTAACAACAATAAATTGATATCTACCTATATTTTCCGGGATAAGTTCACTTTATGAGGGTAATCAGTTTATTGTTTTCAACTGTACATGCTTAACCTACTTATCATATTACATAATCACTCCAAATATTATTATTTATGATAATAAAATTAAAATTGCCTTTTATGATGGTTGATGCTGAATTATCTAAATTTGTGTCTTGATGAATAAGAATATGTGACGTTTGGAAATAGTCAAAACTTGTATCTGATCAACGGTATGATAAAATAACGTGAGTCATTAAATTACAGGTATGTAAGAGAAATAATAATTGATTACTTATTATGACATTGATAACTATCAGTTAAAGTTTTAATTTTATATAAACTATTAAGTGTTAAAGGAATGCAGAAAATCAGCAGATTATAAATGACTGATTATTTCATCCTACCTTCTGACTGATCGCCGACAATGTTGAACTTCTTAATGTCATCAGTAACAATTTAAGAGACGATTTGAAAGAGAGAGAGTGAGAGAGACAGAGTTTAGAGTGCACTGGTAACATTTGAATCTGGGACTATATTATGTTATACCTATGATACTGTCATTTATTATTCAACGGTCTTATCAAACAGTATAAATGCAAATAATGTTTGTAATTACTTAACTCTACCCCATACGGAAATCTTCATTTGTGATCGAAGCTAACTGATTTGACTTACAACAGAAATCGACTATCTGAATGTCCAGCTTAAAAACAATCAGAGAAGAGATTTTATTTACGAAAAAGTGTAGAAAAATGACTATTTAAACCTACTAGAATTAAAAACTAATATAAAGGAGTTGAAGTTAGTTTAATAAAAGAGTTGAGAACCATTCGTTGGCTATTTTGTTATGTCAGACTTAGTCTATACATAACTCATGAGATGTTAAATATTGTGCATTCCAGTGAATCTACCTGATTTCCTATCACTCAGACACTATCGAACAATCAATAATACTATTCTATCAGTCACAGAACTATGTTCAGAATTTAGGATAGACATTCTTTCTTGTTATTTCAATGCAACTGCTATGAAAAATACAGAGATAGTTAGAAATCACTCAGGAAGCGCTAATTTAAATTCCCTCTAGCTCAGAAATTACTAATGGTCAATGTGTTTTTTTAATTTAAGATTACTAGGAATGGTTTTCCCTGATTAATTATCTCAGTGAATTTCTGCAGGTATATGCTTTTGCATCAGTCAGTAATCCTGCTCATTAAACGGTTGTATATAACTATATAATTGCATGAAAAAATTACTTCTGTCAATTCCTACCTAAAGACAGATTAGGAAAAGGCTAACTTAGCAGTCAAAAATAGCATTTTGTTTCCCTCTCAAAGTAAAACTTTGTTTGAAAATTGGAGTCATCGAGTATCTCACTCATAAGTTCGGGTCATCCGTTTTCGAAGTGTATAAGCTTTGTAATAAACATTCTAGCCTTAGATATACTTCTAACGCAATAATTATAAATACTCAGGGTGTACTCTAGCATGCTTATTAGGATGTTAATAACCAGAAACTCAAGCGAAAATAGGTGTTTTTATCATTTCTTCAAATAATTTTCACCGACAGAACCATAATTCATTGCGAATGATTTTGAATCTTACATAAACATACTGACAACCAAAACCTTTCATATTGAAGTGAATCCAAAGAACCTGAAGAAACTTGAAAGCATGAGAACAGATACATCAAAACAGCCACGTACAAACAAATAAGTGGCTGAATAAGAAATAGTCATAACTAATGAAATCACTTTTATCTCAACCGTTGTGTCTTGCATTACTAGTGTAATTATATTTACATAACTCTTTGCTACGAATTCGACTAACATAATCAAAACTGACATGAATTTGATTTTCTATTTATTTCAATTGATCACTGTCTGTGTAAGTGAATACTATGAATCCAACCATGGCTTAAGATCATTCATCTTCACCAGATATATTTTTACACTAAATAATTTTCAAAGTAAATTGCTTACATTCCAAGACTAAATCAATATCTGAACATGACTGGAAAATCTTTTTTAGTACAGAGTTATGTTAGTGTGCTTAGCCGTTGATAACCTTGACCTATTTTTGTTCAAAAATCTCAAACATAAATGGGGAGTTAAGCCTTAGGATAATTTGATTTTAATTACAGATACTAATAAATATAATTCTGTATCTAGTGTTTTATAATCAACTGGTGTTATATTTTGATGAAAATGAGTGCTTAAATATTGACTAAAATTTGTAGGGACCATGCTTAGTTTGGTCAGTATAAATTTAAATTTAATATTTGAAACACCAATTGGTATAAATGAAAGGGAGGTTGTTGATGAGCATAGATGAAGAGTCTTATACTAGGATGAAACGAGCATCCAGTGCTTTCTGGAATCGAATGGTGGTCCAGCTAAAATTAGTTCGTGATTTTAATCATGAAACCAACTGACATATTTATAACTGGGATTTCTGCTTGTCCATCGTCAACAATACATGTCATGTGTTTGTCAGTTTGAGGAAAAGTTGTACAGTATTTCACTCGATATACATTAATAAATGTATTCTTGCTTTGCGTTTTGTCAAAGTATAAAAAATTTGAATGTTGTAAGTACAGTGAATACCTTGTATTCGATGAAGAACGCACACATGTTTCTTCATGTCTATCCATAACCATGCATTTAATAAAGATGGAAGCTTTATTAATTATCCTGGTGCCTGTCTTTTGGATCTTTCTAGTCAAGTTGTCCTACTTTTTTGACATAGACGATGTTATCTTGAATTCTTATCATAATAAAGAATTAGAGTTTTAGCTTAAAAGTAGTGTATTTGATGAGAGTCTATACTAAGATAAAATATTACATAATTTACATTTCTGTTTATTTAATAACATGATGTCTTAGTTAACGTATATTTTGCGGCTGATTCCAATCAAAAGTTGGATATCAGCTTAAGAACTATTGAAGACCAAGGAATGTTGAGGGATCAAGGTAGAGATAT